CCGGGGCTGTGGTCGTTGGGGCCTGTTGCCGGGCGCGTGGGGAGGGTGGCGGTTCCTTCAGTCCTCGGGGTGGCTCTGCGTCTGTGTGCCTGGGCCGGGTCAGTGGGTGCTTTCCCCCTCTCGTCGGCGCTGCTGATAACGGGGTGCCGGGCACTGGGCGCATCGGGGAGTGCCGAATTGGGCCTCTCCCTCGGTGCTGTCACAATCGTGGCTGAAACAAAAGTCTTCACCCTTCCCCTCAAACGTTTTTCTTTTCTTCCACTGGGATTTTCATATTGCCATCCCAGCATCAAGAAATACTGAAATGTCTGAAATCCTCAAATTCTACCCCAGCAGATGGCCCGGAAAGATAGAATTAATAGAGAGACCTGCAGGTATTACCTGTTTCTGTGTCTTTCCAACCTGCTTTGAACTGCACATCCAACCTCTCTCAGCGTCTCTTTTTTTTAATTCTTCTTGTCCAACGTCTTTTTTTCCACACTCTCGCTCATACCTTCATGACATTTTGTTTAGCAATTGAAATCACCATCTTTCATATGTACGTATTTTCCTTGTCAGGTTTTATAAAATATTCTTTCTAATGTTTTCCTTGCCAAAGTCACCACCTCACATTCCTTCTCCAGATGCTCCCATCACCCAGGTGAATCTTCTTGCTCTACTTTTGCAGCATTTCTTCCTCCGTATGTCCATCGTTGCCACCTTTCATTTGCCTCTGCATCAATCCTTTCCCTTTTACCAGTGCTTCACATCTTGTCCGTACACATGCTTCTCCATCAACCCTTTTCAGGCAGCCTCCAACACATGTGACAAGCCCCTTGGAGTTGTTCTTCCTTGTCTGTGTTGATATGACCTGTAAGACTGACCATATTGGATAGCATTTTTACTCTGCTCCAAGAACTTGCCTCAGAGAAAAAGACTAGAAACTAGAGTGACATATATCTGGCATCATCTCTTTTAAATGAGAGGGCTCATGTGTAACCCTGTCTGAACAGGGCCTTGCTTTAAACACTGGAATATGAGATTTCATGTCTAATATGAAATATTTATCACTATTATGATTAGATACTGTTTTTTTCTATCTGAGTTCCAAGCCATTACTGAATATCCCTGTTAATGACCACCAGACCATTTCAGTGAAGACCATTGTTTCATTACGCATTGTGTGAAAAAATATTTTTCATGTTGATTTTGAATTTCTTAATCATTGGGATTTATGCAAGATAAAAGGCTTAATCCTACTGCTAACTGGGGAGACCGGTCGCTTGCTCTTTAACATGCCCTTTATCCTTAGAGACTGCTGACAAAGCACTCGAGATCATGGTGTCAAACAAGTTCGTCTAACATATCCCAGTATATCCCATGGAAGCAAAATACTGATGAGTATCTAAAGGGGGTGAGAATTTTAATAAACAATAGAAAAGCAATCTCTCCAATGAAAGAGGATTATAAATGTCAAAAATGTTGAGATTGCTTCCAACTCCACTAGAAGGCAAAATGTAAATATTTGAAAAAGTTTAGTACATAGCAAACATTATAACCATCAAATGATATATAACCATTTATTTGTATGGCTAATAGTATAAAAGATTACAAATATCCAAGTTTATTATTCAAATAATTGTATTTCTTTCAGTAAGCAATGTATTCGAGTAGGAGGAATTTAGCTATATTGCACATCGTTGTGGCCAGATCTGCAAAACTTAAAAATGGAGAACAGATAGCATAGAAAGGTATTACTTTACTTTTAAGTCTGTCATCTATTATT